GAGTACAAACTGGTGGTGGTGGGCGCGGGCGGCGTGGGCAAGAGCGCGCTGACCATCCAGCTGATCCAGAACCACTTCGTGGACGAGTACGACCCCACCATCGAGGTGCGCGGGGCGGTGGCGGGGCGCGGCCGCGGCTGCGGGACCCGGGGCGGGGACAGCGGGGAGAATTCCGCCGAGCCGAGCTCGCTGCCCGGCCCGGGGTGGGGATGGATGCGCTGCGAGATCGCTCCAGCCCGGCCCGGCCCGCGGCTCTGCCGGCGCTTCCTCCCCCGTTCTGCCTCAGGCTTCCTAAAGCAGCCACGGGCAACCAAAGGGGCCACCGCGGGGCTGTGCAGGGCGTAGATTCTGCTCCCACTGATGGTATTTATGATGTWTTTTTTTTTTCTTTCTCCTATTGAGGGATTTCTTTAAAGCAACAAGACTTTGTGTGTTTTGTAACAAAGGTTGAGAGTCTCATTTAAAATATGAAAAGTCTGAGTAATATTTGAAATGTGATCGTTTGAGTAATATTTAAAATATGGTAGTTTTAGATACTGGTAGTTTTTCATCGGAGATGGACAAGAATTTCAAAATCCAGACTGGTTTGGGTTAGAGGGGACCTTAAAGCTCATCCAGTGCCACCCCTGCCATGGACAGGGACACCTTCCACCATCCCAGGCTGTTCCAAGCCCGGTCCAGCCTGGCTTTGGACACTGCCAGGGATCCAGGGACAGCCACAGCTTCCCTAGAACGGCTGGAAAAGCTCCTCTCATTCCTACCCTTGCTTTCATTATTACTTTTATTTTCCATTCATGTACCCTGGGGTGGACAGAAGCAGTTCAGGGCTCACAGGTCCCCGTTGTGTCCCCAGGACTCGTACAGGAAGCAGGTGGTGATCGATGGCGAGACGTGCCTGCTGGACATCCTGGACACGGCGGGGCAGGAGGAGTACAGCGCCATGAGGGACCAGTACATGAGGACAGGGGAAGGCTTCCTCTGCGTCTTTGCCATCAACAACAGCAAATCCTTCGCTGACATCAACCTCTACAGGTGCGGCTGGGGCTGCTGCAGGCGGGGCAYGGGGACAGCGTGGGGMCCTTGGTGGCAGTGAAGGATCAGGGACAGACAAATGTTTCATCTCCCACTTTGGTTTTGTCACTGTTCTGTGTCAATGCATCAAATCACAGGGTTGGAAGGGACCTTAAAGCCCATCCAGTGCCACCCCTGCCACGGGCAGGGTCACCTTCCACGGTGCCAGGATCCTCTAAGCCCTGTCCAGCCTGGCCTTGGGCACTTCCAGGGATCCAGAGGCAGCCACAGCTTCTCTGGGCACCCTGTGCCAGGGCCTCAGCACCATCTTTAGTCAGTTAAGACTGGAGCAGGTTTAATTGYGTTAATTTTTAATCAGATCATCAATCCATATCAATATCTCMAAGGGGTATCAGAGGAAGGTGCCAGACTCTTTTCAGTGGTGCCCAGCAACAGGACAAGGAGCAATGGCCATAAATCAAACAGAAGTTCCACCTCAACATGAGRAAGAGCTTCTTTCCATGGAGGGTGGCAGAGCACTGGAACAGGGAGTTGWGGAGTCTCTCTCTCTCTCTGGACACATCCCAAACCCASCAGGATGTGTTYCTGTGTCCCCTGCTCCAGGTGATCYTGCCTTGGCAGGGTTGGGCTGGGGGATCTCCTTCCCACCCCAGCTGTTGTGGGGTTCTGGGAATCAGATGCCATTTACAATGACAGAGTGGCATCTCTGAGAAAATGGGTGAGAAACCCAGAGTGGGTTATCCCTGGACAGAAATGAACAGAGGGATTGTCCTCTGAGGACCACTGAGATCCTGCTCAGCTTTAAAATACTTTYGTTACACAAGGTTGTTTGAATACTGATCTAAAATGGCTTTTAAATGCAGAACACAGTTCCTAATTTTTTAATTTTATTTTTAATTTGTCTTCCTAAAGAGAACAGATCAAGAGGGTGAAGGACTCAGATGATGTGCCCATGGTGCTGGTGGGGAACAAGTGTGACCTGCCCACGAGAACAGTGGACACAAAACAGGCCCAAGAGTTGGCAAAAAGCTACGGAATCCCCTTCATAGAGACCTCTGCGAAAACGAGACAGGTGAGGTGCTCCACCCTGCTTTCACTCCTTCCTGAGAAATGCAGGAATGACGTTTTCCCACCTGCTGATTTACAGGAGAAGAATTTTTCAGTCCCTTTACAGATTTTAGCTTTTATTTCCCCACTCACTCTTAGCTTGAAAGAGTTCTGGGCTGGACTAGTACAGGAATCACTTGAGACTTGTCCTGACTTCCTTTGAAGTGTGTCATGTTGATAAATAATGCAGAGAATAAAAGAATTTCACCTCCCCTGAAGTTACTAAATAAAACTTAAAAACTAACTAGAAAAAAAAATACTCAAAATAATAAACATAACTAAAACCTGTAAATAAAGAGATAAAAAGACCTACAGTRATTTTTTGGCRAATTATGTAACAAGAAAAAGTAGCAAAAAGTTCCAAAAAKAATCACCTTTAATATCGAAACRTTTGATAAATACAAYTCCAAAACCCCTCTTAATAAACCTSTAAAACCATTAAAAAACTCCCAGAAAGAAATGAATGCGTGCAAATTAATTCTAAAAAAAAATTTCATAAAAAATTTGATTAATTCAATAACTTATTATACAGTCTCATAAAACACATAGAAAAAAAAGAAACCCACCTACCTTCTAATGCWTCAAATGATGTTAAAAAATTGATCCCAGCCAATTTCAGCATCGTCCAGTGTTGGCAGAGTTTCAGCTGCTCTCTCTGAAAAGTGTCAGAGGCTGAGCTCCCTCACCCCAGACCTGCCTGTTTCTCTTGGCTCCTTAATGAAGCCAATTAGGAGCTTAATTTCACAGACAGAATTGCCCAGACTGGACTARTGGGCTTCTCCAAAGCCTCCTTGGCCACGTGGAACTGCAGGGGAACYGAGCAGGGAAGGTGCAGTTATGGAGCAGCAGCCAGAAAATTGTAAAGAATTAAATTCCCAGAATTCTAAAATGGAGCTGATTGGGCAAGGAGCAGCTTGGAACCTCCTTGCAGATAGAGTTTTCCATGTTTATTTTAGTGGTTGTTGTTCCAGGAAGAGTCAAGAGTGAAGCAAAGGCTTTGGGGTATCAGTGTGAGTTTTTTCCTCTTAGGAACCACAGGGTGAGTTGGGTGCTGCTCCCTCTGTGGAATTGTGTCTCAAATGCATTAAACGGTTCTGGGATGGACAGATCAGTGATTTCAGAAGCTTTCAGGAAAGAAAAACCCAAGCTTGTGTTTGCATTCAGGGTGTGGAAGATGCTTTTTACACCCTGGTGAGGGAGATCCGGCAGTACCGGATGAAGAAGCTCAACAGCAGCGAGGATGGGAACCAGGGCTGCATGGGATTGTCCTGCCTTGTCATGTGAACAGGTGAGCTGCAGTTCCAGTTCTCCACTGCCTTCTTGTCTCTGCCTTGCAGGAGGTGATCAGCGTGGTTTAGAAATGCTGGTTGCTCTAGGTGGGGTTTTTCTCTGTTATACAAGCCCAGAGRTTTGGATCCTGCAATTTAGTAATTCTCAAAAAAAGGGAAAATTCCCCTCTAAACTGATGACAAAGCTTAAAGAAAGGAAATTTCATTCACATCACCCTTTTGGCTGATGGGTGGATGGAACAAGATGATCCTTAAGGTGGCTTCCAACCCAAAACATTCCATGATTTCCGTGGTCGGATTCTCTGTATCATTCCTTTCTGTCTTCTTCCTTTGTGATTTTGAAGAATGTGTAATTTCTGGAGAAACTCCTCAAAAGGAGGATGTGCACAGCTGTGCAGTCACCGTGTGCTGCTGAGGGATTGACTTCCCTCGAGCTGAGTTTCCCTGGAATCCTTGTTCTAGGATTAACCAAATAAAACGGTGCAAGCAACGAAATTTGAGATCCAAATGAGTGAAACTCCTCGCAGCAGCTCCCTAAAAGATACTGCTCACCCCTGTGAGGACAGAGCAGCTCAGGGCTTGTCCTGCTGTTCTGTCCATCACCCCAGAGCAGCACAGAGCTAATTAGTGCTAATTAGAGGTGCCTTTCTGTTCCAGATGCCAAGAAAACGCGGTTCAGCTGCGGTGCCGGACGAGCCCCGGTCTCCTGTGCTGCCTCTCCTGCTGATGCCCTGCAGTGTTTCGGTGCCAGTGCCAGGTCTGGGCACCAGAGTTCATTAGCACAAGGTCCTTTCCCGTGCTCCATCTGAAGAGAAGAACATCCTGTGGCATCTACCTCCCTGCTCAGCTCACGGAGCAGCAGCATCTCTGGATGTGCTGGGATTCTTTCCTCGCTGAGTTACCCGGGTTCGTTCAAGAAGAAAAACCAGTCCCGAGGGTGAACTATAGAGACTAAATGCTGTGAAAAAAAAGATGACACTTTACCTCTAGAGTAAAAGCTAGAAGTGCTGTGTGTCCCCTGTCTGTTGGATCCCGTGCAGTGCTGGCAGAGGAGTGGCACAGAGCGATGGCAGTGCCACCAGGAATGCCCCTGTCCCCTCTCAGATGGGTGTCTGCTCTCTGGGCACCCCCACAGCAAAGTGCAACATCTCCAGTGCCACGAGTGCCACCTACCTGATCCTCCATTGCTGTAATAAAAAGGAAAACCTTTCCTAATTAAGTGCCTGTTTGCTAAGAAGATTCAAAGTTGTCCCTTGGGTTGAGGAAAACCCCAAGGACTGGAATTTCTTGGGAGCTCATTGTCTTAAGCAGGCAAGTGTGGAGTGGGTGATCTGTGCCTGATGGGATCCTCCAGCAGGGATTTTTAAGCTGGAAGGTCCAGCAGGCACTTGTGAGACTCTTGCACGAGGGAGGGGACGCACTGCATCTGTGTTTTACTTTCTTTGTGGGTGGAGCAGTTTAAATTCTGTGTTGTTTTCCTGCAGCACTCAGATTTCTTCCAAGTTGGACCAAACCTGTCAGCTGTTCRTTTTTAACACCAACTGCCAGCATTTCTGGACAGCTTCTCACTAATTAATCTGATAACTGGAGGTTGCTTTGGACAGCTGCTGTTCGGCTCTCTCTCTCTCTGTAACTTGCAAATTGTTTTTATTCTGAATTATTTTCTTTACCACAGACTGTAACAGTCTCTTCAAAACGTCTCTGGACTGTAAAATGGAGTTGGAGTTTCCTTGTCAGGGAAAGAGTGAGGGGTTTGGGGTTGGCTCTGTGGGGAGTGGCTGCTCCTGGAGTGTCCCAGGCCAGGCTGGACAGGGCTTGGAGCACCCTGGGGCAGTGGAAGGTGTCCCTGCCATGGCAGGGGTGGGATGGGATGGGATTTAAGGTCCTTTCCAACCCAAAAATTATTCTGGGATTCTGGGATAGAGGGGAGAAGGCCAAGAGTTGCCACAGAGAGCTGAGCCAGATTCTGATTGCAGCATCCCTGCAAAATGAGGAAGGAAATGAGTCCAGGGATGGGTTCAGGAAGGTGTGGGGCAGCCTGATGGGCTCTGACACCTCCAGTGAGGGAATTGTGAGCTGGGTSAGTTCTCCCCAGATCCAAACCCTCCCCTTGTTCCCGGGGTGCCCAGGTGCTGCAAACGCTGGCAGTTCCTTTGGGATGCCCAGCCCTTCCCTGGCTCCTGGGTGCTGCTCTGGGTGCTGCTCTGGCTGCTGCTCTGGTACTGGGGCAGCAGAGCTGAATTCTCAGCCCCTGTGCTGGGGAAAAGGAGCCTTCAGCCAACAGAGGGAGCGTTCGGGCAGTGCCAGACCAGCAGAGCCGGGAATTGCAGGCGGCTCCATTTCAGTTCGTGGGTGTCACTCACATCTCAATTTGAGCTTCTCGCTTTCAGAGGGACATTAGAAACCAGTAAACAGAGAGAGAAKAATTTTTTTCCTTTTAATGTTGCTTCCTTCACTACTTACATTCTCAGTTCTCTTCTGGGAATGAAGAGGATCAATCTGTATCCCATTTTCTTGATCTGTGATAATCCCTATAAATACTTATTTTCGTTTATTTTAACTTTGACTGACGTGACACTGATAAGAACTCGACCCATTTAAAAGTTTAACATAAAATACTCTTTTCCAGCAGCACACACACAGTGGTGGGCAGGATTTGTGCAGGATTGTGGGGTCCATTGGCTGTGGCTCAGGTTGAGTTTATTTGATGTTGCCCAGAGAAGCTGGGGCTGCCCCATCACTGGAAGTGTCCAAGACCAGGCTGGAGCACCCTGGCACAGTGGGAGGTGTCCCTGCCCATGGCAGGGGTGGCACTGGATGGGATTTAAGGCCCTTCCAGCCCAAACCATCCCCTGCTGCAAGGTTAAACATGCCAGAACTGCCCCCACTGCAGTGCCAGGGCTGGGAAAGCTTTGTCAGGATGAGATTTCCATGAAAGCTTTCCCTGTGCCAGGAGATCAGTGACTGCTCCTCAAGGGATACGTGACATGTGGGTGCCCAGTTAATAAAATCAACCCAAAAAGCTTTTAGGATGCACATTTGGTGGGGCAGACCAGCAGGAAGGAGCAGTGTGGGGTTTGCAGGAAGGCTGAGAAGTGACATTCTGTCATTCCAGGCCTGTGGATGGGGTTTGGTTCCTTGGGAAATGCAGGAATTTGTGTCCTGGGAAGCTTCTAGAATTTGGTGTTTGATTTGTTGCTCAACCTGGGGATTAATTTGGATGGAGGTTCATTGCAGCAATGCTCCACAGTGCACAGCGTGCTCTGCTTGGCATTAAAATATCCCAGCTGCAGCTCCAAAAGCTGGGAATTCTCAGAAATTTGTGGGAACTGACTGGAAAATGCATCTGCTTTCTCTTTGCTGTTCCCTTTCTCTTGGGCTCTATGAAACCTGAAAAGGGAAAAAGTCCTGGTGAGGACAAGGCTGTATTTATGTCACCTTTGGGACCTTCAGAAGGGTTTTTAGGGTTTTTTTTTCAGATTTTAGAATGCTGCAGAGCTCACCTGCACAGGACCTCCATTGCTGCAGTTCCAAATCCAGCAAACACAAAATCAGGGTGTTGCACTGGTCAGGAGTGTGAAGGGAATGGCTGTAATTTGTTTCCAGCTGTAAARAACCCTGGGTTTGGTGGCAGCCAAGAACTGGAAGAACAAAACYCTGTGGACTTTTTGGGGAAATTATTTTGAAGATAAGCACAGGTTTTGCACAAGACAGGTCCCTGGAAAAGGTGGTTCAGTGGGTTTGGTCCAAATATTGTTATTCAGAACAGCACAAAACTGCACTGGTGCCAAGCTGATCTCACTGTCCTGCCTGGGCAGAACAGCCATAAAACTTGGAGGTAAAATACTAAAAAAGGGTAAAATATTTAAAAAGGGTAAAATAATAAAAAAGGGTAAAAGCTCTTGTTAAAACTTCCAAGTGCCAGTAACTAATAAATGTTCCTGTTGCTGTGGCTGAGAGCAGCTCCCCAAGGAGCCAGGGTAACTCTGTGGTTGTTCCTCTCTGTGTCCCCACTCCCTGGTCCTGTTCAAACCACTGCTCCCATTCTGTCCCTCTCCTTGGTAGGACTTTGGATTTTAACCAAAATTTTAACCTTTTTTTTAAGCTGTCGTAATTTCTAGAGCAGCTCAGACTTAGAACTGGATTTCAAGCAGCMTCAGGCCTGGGGGGAAAGGAGAGCAGTTTGAATCCCATTCTGACCTGTCTGTGCCCCTCAAAAACCCCAAACCTTGAGTGTCTGCCTGTATTTTAACCCCCAGGATGGTCGGGAAATTTTGGGATCTGGACTTTTAACCCAAGGGCTAATTTGTTGTTACTTTGTTTAATTATTTGCTTTCAATAATGCATCTCCTTTGGTTTGAATTGAAGTAAATTATTTTGCTTCTTGAATAACTTTTTTAAAGAATAAACGTTKAATTCTTTGCTTGGTTTCTTTGTGATCTGGGATGGACGAGTGGGTTACAGAAGGTTTATCAAAGCTCTGTGCTTTGTCTGTGGGTGAGTTTGATTCCAGATGTCACTGCTGTCCTGAGGCACAGCCACCTCTGTCACAGATGTGCCCTAAAACACCAGTGAGCAGTGACAGTGGCATTGAGACCTGCCACTGACTTGGTCCAGAGTCCAGTTTTAATTATTTCATCAATCTGTGCATCTTGCTCCTGCTGGATCTGTTTGCAGTGGGGTCCCTCACGTTGACTGTATCAAAAAATGAAGAGGGAAACTCCTTTACTTGATATTCCATTGGCAAAACCAGCTATTGAGTCATTGCAGTGCCCAAATTGGGCTCTGTCAGGCTTTTAAATTGATTAATTCAGTCTTCCAAAAGACCTCCCTGCTGGCTTTCCTCCTGCCAYGAGGCACATCAGGTCAGACCACACAATGAGAAAATGTGCTTTGAGTGAATTTCCTCTCAGATGTTGTGTCAGGCATCTGGAACCTGCAGTCCCAGCTGGGTTTTGTGCCAGGAATTTCAAACCAAACCCCCAGGAATGGGGGCACTCAGCTCCTGGAACTGCAGCAATCACTGCCTGTTCCCAAAAAGGATTTATAACCCGGGTTCAGGTGGGTGCTGGAAACCCCAAGGGTTTCTTGGCTGACTGGGAAAGCTTCCATGCATTTGTTCCCTGTAAAAACCTGTTCCTACAGAGGAACTCCCTCCGAGGAACTGATTTTGGTGTGCCCTGAATGGGAGCTGAGCTCAGCCCTGGAGGGATCTGTGCAGGAGCAAGGTGGGGAGAGAAGAATCTGCTGGAAATCTGAGGGATTTCCAGTGCTGGCTGAGTTGATCAGGGAGAGATCCCCTCTCTGTTCACACTCTTCCTCCTCAGAAATTTAAATCATTTGCCCCATGGCCTCTGCTTGGGCAGCTGCCCCAGTGCTGTGGGTGCAAGCTGGAGGCAGACCCTGCTCAGTSCCCCAAGCTGCCAAATTTCTGCCACATCCAAGCAATTTCCTGTGGTGGGAACGAGGGCAGCTCAAAGGTAAAAGTGTGGGGGTTTCGAGCCTCTGGGTGGGAATCACTCACTTTCCAGCTGAAAAAGCGTGGGATGAGGGGTTGTTTGTGTCAGTCGCTGAGTTTGCAGAGGCCCTGGGTCTAACTTTAGCACAGCATGCCCTGGCTTTACTCAGATTTCCACCCCGAGCCCACCCAAGCTGACCCTGTGATTAAAAAAGCTGAGGGATCAAGAGACGATCGAGATTCTTCTCTTGAGGAAGATGACCTCTGTACCCTAAAGGTTATTTTTGGTGTCAGATGTGAATCCCAAGATCCTGATGTACCCGGGGAGGTTATCCAGTCCTTGGGGGAGAGGTAACAAGCAGGAGCCAGTTTTCATGGCCCTTGAATGAAATGGTTAAAAAATAATGTGGGSTGGGGGCTCTTAAATGAGAACAAGAATTCAGAACCTGAATATTTTATCAGCATGAGTGAGAGACCAAGGTTGTACCAGCATCCCAGCTTACCCTGGTGCTGCACCTTGCAGGTTGGAGGGAAGGAAATTTATGTTCTTGAGGACAAAATTGCCCGAATTCCGGGGAATTTCTCAGTTGTCACCCAGCAGGTTTTGAAGTTGTGCCCATCAAACAGCAGGTACATCCCTTCCAGAGAGTTTCTGGATGCTCTGGAAATTCCCTCAGCTGGAGATGCTGCACCAGGTCCCAGCTCCCATCACTTCACTGGCTGTGCCACACGATTCCTGTGGACAAATCCATGGCTGGTTATTCCCAGCTCTGTATTTTAGGCAGGTGACTCTGTCACCTATTCCAGCTTTCTTCTTGGACCTTTCCACAGCTGTTCTGCAAAACATGGCACAAGAATCCCTTGGATGTGCATATAAATCCAAATAATGGTGTCTTTTACAGGTGGTTTTTGTGTTCCTGTCCACACTGTGACCAAAGTGACCCTTAAAACCAGAGCCAAGCTGTGTCCAAATGCTTTGTCCTATTCCAGGGCAGTTTTTCAATGCCATCAAGAACTGAAATATTAAAAAAAAAAAAAAAAAAAAAAAAAAAAAAAAAAAAAAAAAACCAAAAAAAAAAAAAACAGGGAAAGGCTCTGTTTCATACTAAATCTATTTGATCCTCCTGACCTGTTCAGGTCACCACTTCCCACCAGGAAGCAGAAGCTCAGAGTCACCCTGGCCCCACGTAGAGCACAACAAATTCTGGCYTTTCTCTTCCCTCAGGAGCTGCTCTCCAGTCACAGGTGAGACCTGAGGGAGRTTTGAGGCCACCCTGAAGGAGCCCTCAATGCCAATGTGCTGAACCAATCTGCTTAAATGAATCCAGGAGGTGCTTCCCAACCTGAGAGCTGCCCTGCAAGACCCCAGCCATGTGAGCAGCCCAAAGCAGGAATTCCCTGGCCCACCTTGGGGTGGGCTGAGAGCTGGACTCTGTCAGATCCATCTCAGTTATAGTTCCTCACACTCAGAACTGATTTTCACATCAGCATCAGGACACACAGTTCAATAAAGGCACTTTCTGAAAACTCAGCAGCAAACTGTGACTCCTTGCACCTTCCTTTTGTTTGTTGGATTTAGCTGGGAATAATTGAGCTTTACCAACCCTGTTGGTAAAACCCAGGTTTTCAAAGAGATCCCTCCCTCAGGAAAAATCTCTGAACAGCTCAAGTGAGAGCACATRGCTTGTACCTGTCCACAGCCCTTGTTCTCATTGGGAATTTCCTTTAAACCTTTGGTTCAGCACAGATGGTATCAGGTTTAGTCTCTCTGAAAAGATTGACTTCCACAGATCACGTTAGAAAGGTGCAGCTGCCCTGGAAAGCAGAAATCTGGCCAGACACCAAGTGATTTTAAAATGGGAGCCTAATTGAAAGAAAAAAAATTAATTAAATTTGAGCCCTGCTTTCACCTGTCYCAGTGCAAGCGTTTGTGGCTGCACTTTAAATAGTCCCCCAGTTGATCTCCACTCTCCTTTTAGAGTGGGAGAGTCTGATTACAGGGAAGGGAAAGCAGCAAAATTAGTGTTGGGCTGTTGGGCAGTCGCTCACCCCTTGTGCTCAGGGACTGTGGGGTGTTCTCGAGGCTCTGCAAACGCTGCTGCCATGTCTCGGGTGAGAATTCCAGGTAGGTCTGAAAGCCAARTGTGAGCCAAGGAGCCACAGGGCAGGTTCCTCAGCCCCCAGCCTTGAAGGTTTGGATGTGTGCTGCCCAGGGAACCTCGCTGGGGCCTTTGGGCATTTTTCTTCCTGCTCAGAGACAGTATTGGATAATGCAGCAAAGAAATAATGTTATTGTTTAGATCTTGTTCTTTTTGTACTGAAGGAAAATGTTGTCTCTCCTGCAGTGTGACGTGTCCTGTAATGACACCATTAAATCCCTGTTTGGGCTCAGAGGGATTTCAGGAGTCTCTGGTCAYCCTGGTGGAGCTCAGAGGATGTGGGGAGCTGCAGCCCCGAGGGGATTGGAGCTGGGCAGCAGCAGCAGGGCCAGGCAGGCTGTGCAGGRCAGTGCAGAGGGACAGGTGACATGTGACTGCAGAGCCCTGAGTGAGAGCAGCACCAAACAGCCCAGATAAGGGCGTGTTTGGGATTGCAGGGCTGTGGGGTGAGAGGCACCGTCCCAGCACACCAAGCTGCTGTTAAAGCCTGGCCCTGCACCATCAGTGGGAGGCTGTGAACCACCCTGAGCGTAATTTCCATCCATTAAAGAGATGAAAGGTCAAACGGAGCATTTCTGGGATGCTTCGTTTGCAAATGAATCCGTGGAGTGAGAATTCCGGGGCGTGTGTTCTGGGCTGGGCTTTGGGAAGTCAGCAGCTGGCAAACCGTGATGCCAGAGCTCAGCCTGGGCTGCAGGGTCAGAGGGAAAGGGCAGCAGTGGCACCTCAGGGTGCTGCTGTCACCCTGTCTGCCCAGGAGCGAGGATCCGTGGCGGGGCAGCGCCTCAGCTGTCTGATCCCATTAGGGAATAAGGGAGATGTGACCACAGGGGGATGGAACTCGGCATCCCTGCAATGACCATCCATCCTCAGGGCCACAAAGGAGGGCGAGTCAAGGGCAAAAAATAGCAGAGCCTGGTGCTCTGAGCCACTGAAATATCTGCTTGCTGGGTCAGCAGAGCAGGCTGTCCTGGCCTCCCTGTGCTCCTGCACATCCCTGCTCACGGGCAGARGGAGAGATCCTCCAGGCCAGCTCAGTGTTCACCCAGGACCGGTACCTGTCAGGCTCTGGTGCTGTTGAGTGAGGTGATCTGGGTTCCAGAAAGTGCTCCAGCTCGGGCACTGCAGGGAAAGCAGGGGCTGTGCCAGGCAGAGGCTGTGCCAGAGCCCACACTGGGATGTTCCTTTGGTTCCATGTTGAGGCACTGCCGAGGCTCTGTCAGGGACAGCAATGCAGAACTTTCATCTCTGCGTTCCTCAAAGCGACAACTCCTGCTCTGCCTTTCTTCTGTTCTTCCAGCACCTAAAGGGGCTACAAGGGTGGAGGGACTTCTCACTAGGACATAGAGTGACAACAAGGGGAGATGGTTTTAAACCCCAGGAGGGTGGTTTGTAGGAGATATGTGAAAGGATTCCTCCCTGCGAGGGTGGGGAGGCCCTGGCACAGGGTGCTCAGAGAAGCTGTGGCTGCCCCATCCCTGGAAGTGCCCAAGGCCAGGATGGATGGGGCTGGGAGCACCCTGGGACAGTGGAAGGTGTCCCTGCCCATCCAATGAGCTTTAAGGTCCCTTCCCACCCAAACCATTCTGGGACTCTATGATTCTTTTATAAGTGGGAGGTGTGGAAGGCTTTGGCTAAGCTCGTACTTTGCTAACCCCTTTTTAACAACTGGTAAGGCAGAAAGGCTCAGATTTTGAGGGGCTGATCACAACASCTTTTCTTTTGTCTCTGTTTTATCTCAAACAGCAGAACACAAACGTGAGTATTGCTGGGTTTCTCTATGCTCTGCTGTGTTTCTG